AGTGGTTTCATTGAATAACACTGTTAAAATACATAATGTAATGCAAAGTAAAGTGCTGTTACACTTACAGGACGATCAAGTCCTTTAATATTGACCAAACATTTAATTCAAATATACACTTAATCTTACATTTTTGGCCACCTTTTTGCAAAAGAAATACGACAGCCTCAATAATTTATTCAACAAAAACATGTGGACCTGATAACCCTTACAAAAAATGAACCATGGTTTTATCGTAGTAAAATTGCTTTGTTTTCTATTGCATGATTTCTGAATGCTTGAGACTAAAATCAATCAGACAACTGTATTAATAAAATAATAGCCATAGGTAACTGTCTTTAGCTACAATTGTAATTTGTAAATAATACAATATAATTACAATTTATTTATTTACTTTTATATTTTATTAAAGTTCTGTTTTGACCCCTATAGTAGGTGTTTTTTTTTACATCCATAATATTTGGGGGAGGGCACCCATTTCATTTGGCCAGCAACGGCCCTGGTCATGAGTTCCAGCAGAACTGTTTGTCTGAATGATATGAGTGAGGAAGAGGAGGCCATAGGAGTTTTTGGGAAACCAGTATGGAAACAATTATTATATTTGCAAATCCATTTTTTGTGGAGCAAACATGACACACATCACCTTTTAGGCTTGAAATAACTACGTCAGTGACAATCATTTTATAAGTTGATAAGCCTATTTACTTTTATATGTTTAGAATCATTTTATTTCTCAATTAATACAGATTTTTCCCTGCCGTACACGACCCTATCAGAACAGATCTGTGACCTATTATTGGGTCATGACCAACCAGTTGAGATCCACAGAACTAGGTGATGGGTGAGTGAGAGCAATAGGATAGGACGACTCTGGTCTCGTACATCTTTTACAAACCACGTAACATAACACATAACAGCTGAGCACTTGGCTAAATATCACAGCCTCTTATGGAAACTGCTACCGAAGATTAAGTTTCATATAAATTCCTAAGGAGCCACTACATGCTGCGTGCGGTATCACAGAGAGAGAGAGCAGAGCTGCTTCTCTCAGTATTTGGGAGGCTTCCAGTGCCCTGCATGACCCCCGGTGCGAGAAGGACAGGATAAGACTCAGTGACATTAGCACCATGTCGGCCTCACATTCATCGTTTAAATGCTCAGTGCCAAAACTGGACAGACAGGCAATTACAACTCAGTCACTCCACAGGGGCACAAAGAGTTTAAATAAAGATTTCTCAGTTATTGAGACAAACACACAGTGTCTGGTTATATAAATGAAAGAGAACATGAGTTCAGGCCGTGGTTGAGTGACCAACCTAACTACAGCCTGACTTTCACTACAGATGAAAATAATGGAAACAACTTTGAGTTTGTAATTTATGTAAAAGAAAAAAAAACTTATTAATCTTTAATATTTAATGAAAAACATTCTGTGCATACACCATCTATGAGTCAGAGCAAAGCATTGTACAACCGCGCCTGCAAGAATCAAAGCGCTTCTGGTTTTAATCACTGAAGGCGGGAATAAAAAAAGTGAGGCTGCATCTAGAAATGCAAACTGTCTGAGTGGGTATCCCACTGTCCTGCAGTCCAGCTACAACCATAATCAAACACACCTGAAGCAACTAATCAAGCTCCTCAAGATTGCTTGAAAATACAGTCAGGAGTGCTTAAGCAGGTTGGAAATAAACTTTGCAGGACAGCGGATCCCCAGGAGCAGGGTTAAAGACCTTTGTTCTGTATAGTATGAATTTGTGTATTGTGAATGTATTCCGGATGTACTACATCTGTCATGCTGTCAGTGTCATGTAACCTACTAGCGTCAGTTGCGTTGTCACTTCACTGCCTTCTCCCGTGGCCTCGTGGGATAGTAAAGTGCCCATTAGAAACATGGCAAAACGAAAGAGAGATGATGGTGCTGCTAGGTGGAATTATGAGATGGAGGAAAGGTTCGTGGAGCTGTGGCAACAGTACTCCTGCCTGTATGATGTGTCATGAAGGGACTACCACGACAGAACAAAGAAAGAAAAATGCTGGCGAACTATAGCGGAAGTGCTTCAGCAATGTTTACACTCTTGTTTTCGGAAGTCAGTCGCTAGTTCCGCCTTCTCGATGACATCACACACGTCCCGCGATGGTCGGGAAGCAACGTGTAGTCTGACATGTTTCTTATCCATGCCACGACAAGATTTTAGGAGGCAAAATCGTGTAATCTGACACAGTGATTATCGTGACCGACAAAAATATCATGTAGTCTGAACCCATTATGCAAACCACTTTATCACAATAATGTCCACTCAACTCTTGGAAACCCATTAATGAGGCTATATAGTGGGATCCGACAGAATTGTGATGTCTTAACCAAACAGTAAGCACTAACTTGTGTTCCCATATGGGAGAACAACCAACCAGCTCTGTTTCTGGATCATTAACTTCAACAAAGTGCCATCCAGCGCATTCAGTTCAACATTCACGCTCATCTAATCAAAACTAATTCAGCCATGTTGCTGCAGCAATCATTTCTGTATGCTCCACCAGCTGCTACATCTCCCCAGGTGCATATGAATCAATGCTTCATGACCAATGAATAATGAAGTCAGCAGTATATAGTTATATGAGAGACAAATTATGTCAACCATCTTGAGGGTGCTGTGCCATTTAGACCTTGCCTGTAAATATGGTCATCAACCAGACCTCAGGCCAACACAGATGATCCTAAACTGAAAATGTCAGTTGCACTGAAAAGGGGGCCCAATGGCCCATGCATGGATCACTCAAATCATAGTGACCATTCAACCACAAAGTAACAGACTGAAATCTAAGCTATCTGATTGAGAGTTAGGTCTGCTCTCAAGGGACATGTTAAAGCTATGGAACAGTTGTGCACAGGCAAGTACACTCCTTTTAATTTACAGATCCATACAATGCTCCTGCATCAGTGATGAGATGCACGTTTGTAAGTGTCAGCAGTCTTACAGGACAACTGGAAGGGAAAGTTTACACAAAAAAAAAAATTCTGTCATTTACTGTACTGTACATCATCCTCTTGTCCTTTCAAACGTCTATGACTTTCTTTCTTCTGCAGAACACAAAATAAAATATTGTGAAGAATGTTTCAATTGCTTTGGTCCCAATGAAAGACAATGGGGTCCAAAACGAGTCAGCACCCTGTTGACTTTTACTGCATGGACAAAAACATTTTTGTGTTCCACAGAAGAAACAAATAGAACGTCTGTCCTATAGTCTCTGTATTATTCACATATGTAGGATTTTACTTTCTCCCATTCCGTCTCTGATAGCACCATGAAGACAGTACATTGTGACTTATTTTGACATTACATAACGGTAGAGGGAACCTCCTTATGACTATCCACCACCATCCTCTAGATCAGGGGTCTCCAACCTTTTTTACCCCAAGGACAGGTTACATTTGGAAAATATTCTTGCAGACCGGCTGGAGGGGGTGATATATATATTATTAATAAATATATATCAAATACTGTACATTATTGTAGGTCCTCTATGCCCCACCTCTCTCAAACACGTCGTTTTCAACAAAGCCCCCTCCTTTGACAAGCACAGTCTGTTGACCCAGTGCATTGTGATTGGCCGAACACCACAAGAACGCGTCGGAAATGTAACGCCCCTTACCATAATCGCTTCAGCTTTCAAAGTAAATATCAAGTTAATAATGTTGTTAGTTTTACCATCAGTTCAAGCCCGAAAGGGCAACAGAGTCACGTGACAGACACAGTGATGATGCAGTACACAAGCCGCGGTTAAGACAGCTGACGTGCTATGATTTCTGACAGGCAGTTCACTCTCCTGTGATGTGACCCTGTTCCCCTCACACACACACATACACCCACGACGCGTTACTCTGCGCTGCACTAAACTCCGCATTTGAACAGTCAATAGCAAATACTTAAACTAATAACAAAACATACTTACAGTCGCTGATTCAGAAGCGCCAGATTGTCACAGCAAAGTCAGAACCCTTTTTATTTTTTTTTTAGAAATAGCCTTGTGCACAGCCAGCCTTGTACTCTTCTAGGTTAAAAAAGACTGTCGTCCATAAAAAGCGTTGCACAAATTCGAACATCTGGGTTGTGCTGTTCTGTTGTAAATAAATCTTAACCAATGATTCCTCATTGCATCTACTTCCGGAAGGCCAAATAAACTGCTTTTGCTTTCGCACTGAAACACAACGTCTCCCTGACATGACTGCATCAACACTACTGCTGTTCCTGAAACCACGCCTTCTTTCTTTGCGTGCACATTTGGGCAGCATTATGCTAATATTTCCACATAGTGACCTAGATATGTGGGGGCGTGTTAGAACGAGCCGTTTTAGGTAGGCGTGGTTGACTCTTAACTTTTATAAAGAATATCTCTTTGGATTTGTAACTTCCAATCTTCTTTATGCCCCAAGAGCTTGTAACACTCCAAAGAGAACGGAAAAATTTAAATCGCATCATATGACCCCTTTAACAAAAACGTAGACAGTTCACTGTAATAGCTTTCATAGCCATTTCTAGAAGACACACGCAACTAGACACAAACTCTATATAAAGTCTATAAAGTTGTTATCAGCAGAATGTTTTCTATAGGTAACATAAAACTATTAATAACAGTCACATTAATGTCATGCCAACATAAAACGTTTTTAGAAAACTGCGAGTGTCAATATTGTGGCATTAAGTCAAGAGAAAAAGCTCTTGACAAATCAGAATAAATCAGTATTTATAAACGTACAAAGTTCATTGCCCAAATGAATGTATAATAAAACAAATGTTACTAGTTAAAAATAATAATAAAGCTTTAAAACAAATAGTTTCGACTTTCCCATTCAAATCGATATTGATTACTGCTTATGAAACTGAATTAAATCCTTGCACCTGTGGCACAAAACAACAAGAGCACACTGTTTTGCTAAAGCTAAGATTTTGTTTCAAAACCACTGGATATACCTTAAACGCAACAATGGATAAGAATCTTACCACGTTGGACGCCTTAGGCAACCCAGTCCGAGTTCCATACCTGAAGTGTTGTTCATTTCCAAATAAATGTCTTTACAAATATTTTGCGACCCCACAGGCTACATTAGCCAGGCTGCTAAGTGTCCGTCCTCCTCTCTCCTCCATGTGCTCTCAGCAGCACGCGCATCGTGGGGCGCTTTGCATAGAGTCTGATCAGGGCTTGACGTCACCGCACGACAACTTCATCTATTACTTTACAAAACAATTATAATTTAACTTGTGGCTCGGTATTTTACCCTACATAGACTATTTAGCTTCATTATCATCCTAACAGTGATTGTAAATACCACAGTGCTTGACACTAAAACTTTTACCCTAAATGACAACCTGTCAAGAAGACGACAAGAAGAGGCTGTCTGTGGTAGATTTCACTTATTCAGGACTCTTGAACTTCCTTCTTTGGGAGTTTATCTACATGGATCCAGGTTTGGTCATAAAAACACTTACCTGTCATAAAGAATGTAATATGCATATCCCTTTTCCACGACATTCTAATTTATTGAGATGCACCTGTATATGTTGTCTGTGAAATATTCATTCATCATGTTTCACAGACAAGGCTTTGTCCCAGACTAAAATGCATGTCTGTTCTCTTTTAACTGTATGAAACTTGCACTGACATACCTTAAAATATGTTAGTACTATTGATTTGTCTCAAGATGCACACCAGTAAAATGTTTTTTTCTAAGGCAAGTTTATAAAAGATAAATATGTGCACAGCACATATTTAGTCTGTGATTTTGTCCATCCAGTACTGTTTCCATAATCTTAGCAGGACAACAAGAGAAAATGATATCAGAGAAAAAGATTAAAAGAAAAGTTAAAACTGAGTATGAAAAGGAGCATGTACTGTATGTCATCTACCAAACCCTTCACCCACTTTTAACAAACATGGCACTTTTGAGTTGAAGGTGAAGGAAAGAATAAGCTGCTCTCCTTATGAGTCTCCCTATGCCAGCATGGTCTTCAAAACTGCTCTACTTAAGGAAAGGTGACATCTTTTTGTGCAGCAGGTGCATCAGAGCTCTTCTTACAAAGTTAAATGCCAATGATAATGCTTTTCATAACATATTAAAGCAGCAGTTTTATAGTAAAATATATAGAGAAATTAAAGGGGTCATATGATGCGATTTCAATTTTTCCTTTCTCTTTGAAGTGTTACAAGCTCTTGGTGCATAAAGAAGATCTGTAAAGTTGCAAAGACTAAAGTCTCAAATCCAAAGAGATATTCTTTATAAAAGTTAAGTCAATCACGCCTACCTAAAACGGCTCATTCTAACACGCCCCCACATATCTATGTCACAATGTGGGAAGATTTGCATAAAGCCGCCCAAATGTTCACGCAAAGAAAGAAGGCGTAACTTTGATTCTCGCTGTAGTATTGTTGCTGCCGCCATGTCGTAAAGACGCTGTGTGTTTGTGTTCTGTGTGTTTCGTTGTGAAAGCGAAACTATTTTGTTTGGCCTTCCAAAAGAGGATGACAACCGCTTCGTCATGCCTAGAGCTGATCCATGCTGGTCGCTGAGGAAATACATCAACTTTCGCGCTGGGGATCGCCGGATCGGCTTTTACCGTGGACGAAGTGGAGTCCAGCCCGGGGGTGTCACATGTGGTTGCCGCAAGCCCGCCGGCCTCCGATCACTCAAGCCCGCTGTGTGTTTCGTTGTGAAAGCGAAACTACTTTGTTTGGCCTTCCAGAAGAGGACACGACTAGAAATCAGTGGTTAAGTTGTATTTACAACACTGTTCCAGAACAGTTCAACCCAAATATTCAGATGTGTCCAGCGCATTTTATGGAGGACTGTTTCCTGATCCTGGTAGAGTAGACTGCAATGCCGGCTGTTCTTACTCACAGACTGTAAGTAGATTTTTTATATTTAAAGGTTTTGCCACTGATGATTCAAACGTAAGTTTTGAGCAGTGTAGAGTAGCGCTTGTTTGTTATTTCTCCGATCACAAATGCAGACATGGTTTTATGTTTACGCGGCGCGATGCAACGCGT